ATGCTTTTTCAGCATCAGTTGAAATAATCATATGGTTTTTACCTTTCCTTCTGTTGATATGATGTATCACATTGATTGATGTTTTATGTTGAACCATCCTTGCTTCCCAGGGATAAATCCCACTAGTTGTGAAGAATTATCTTTCTAATATATTGTTGAATTCGGTTTGCTAGTATTTTGTCGAGGATTTTTGCATCAATATTCATCAGAGGTACTGCCCTGTAGTTTTCTCTTTTTGATATGTCTTTGTCTGGGTTTGGTATCAGGGTAATTCTTGCCTTACAGAATGAGTTTGGAAGTATTCCCTCCTCCTCTGTTTTTTGGAATAGTTTGGGTAGGATTGGTAGTAGTCTTTTAAATGTTTGTTAGAATTCAGCAGTGAAGCCATCAAGTCCTGTGCTTTTCTTTTCTGGGAGACTTTTTATTATGGCTTCAATCTCATTAGTTGTTACTGGTCTGTTCAGGTTTTTGATTTCTTCCTGGTTCAATCTTAGTAGGTTGTACGCATCTAGGAATTTGTCTATTTCTTCTAAATTTTCCAATTTATTGGCATATAGTTGCTCATAGTAGCCACTAATGACCCTTTGAGTTTTTGTGGTATCACAAAAACAGTAGTAATGTCTCTTTTTAATTTCTGATTTTATTTATTTGGATCGTCTCTCTTTTTTTCATACTTAGTCTGGCTAAAGGTTTGTCAATTTTGTTTAACTTTTCAAAAAACAAACTTTCTGTTTCATTGATCTTTTGTATTTTTTAAATTTCAATTTAATTTATTTCTGCTCTAATCTTGATGATTTCTTTCTATGTAATAATTTTTGGTTTGTTTACTCTTGCTTTCCTAGTTCTTTAAGATGCATTGTTAGATTGTTGATTTGAATTTTTTCCTCTTTTTTGATGTGGGCACTTACAGCTATAAACTTCCCTGCTAGTACTGCTTTTGCTGTATCCCATAGGTTTTGATATACTGTGTTTACATTATCATTTGTTTCAAGAAATTTTTCAATTTTCTTTTTAATTTCTTCATTGACTCACTGGTCATTCAGGAGCATATTGTTTAATTTCCATGTATTTGTATAGTTTCCAAAATTCCTCTTGTTATTAATTTCTAGTTTTATTCTATTGTGGTCAGAGAAGATGCTTGATGTTATTTCAATTTTTTGAATGTTTTAAGACTTGTTTTGTGACTTAGCATATAGTCTATCCTTGACAATGATTCATGTGCCGAGGAAAATAATGTGTATTCTGTGGCTCTTGGATGAAATGTAGTGTAAATATCTATTAGAGCCATTAGGTCTATAGTACAGATAAAGTTTGATGTTTCTTTGTTGAGGTTTTGTTTGGAAGATCTGTTTAATGCTAAAAGTTGTGTGTTGAAGTCTCCAACTATTATTGTATTGGGTCCTATCTCTCTCTTTAGCTCTAATAATATTTCTTTTCTATATCTGGGTGCCCCAGTGTTGGGTACATATATGTTTAAAATTGCTATATCCTTTTGCTGAATTGACCCCTTTCTCATTATATAATGACCTTCTTTGCCTCTTCTTACAGTTTTTGTCTTGAAATCTATTTTGTCTGATATAACTACAGTGACTCCTGCTCTTTTTTTGTTTCCATTGGCATGAAATACCTTTTTCCATCCCTTTATTTTCAGTCTCCATATGTCTTTACAAGTGAAGTATGTTTCTTGTAGGCAACAGATCAATGGGTCTTGTTTTTTTTACCCATTCAGCCAGTCTGTGTCTTTTGACTGGAGAGTTTAGTTTATTTACATTCAATGTTATTCTTCATAAGGACCTACCTCTGCCATTTTCTTATTTGTTTTCTGGTTGTTTTGTGGTCTTTCCTTTCTTCTTTCTTTCATTCATATCTTCCTCTAGTGAAGTGATTTTCTCTGGTGATATGATTGAGTTTCTTGCTTCTTATTTTTTGTGGTAATTTTCAAATTTCTTGATGAGAATTTTCTTTAGAAGGAAGAGGCTAAACCAAAAATTATTGTAATCTTTCAATCTGTTAAACTGGCCCAGGGATAAAGTCAGCATGTCCTTCCCTGTGCTTTTGTACAAAGCCTGGCCCCTCCATCAGCACACCTGCCATTTCCACTATGAGGACTCAAGGTTAACATATTCAAAACACAACTTTGGCTTTTTTCCTCTTCCAAACATGCGCTTCCCCTAGTCCTTCCCATTCCTCAAAATGGTCCTTTCATCCCTTCACCCAATTCTAACTGAAAAATTCTAACTTTCTCTTGGGAGAAAGCTTTGATTGTACCCTTCTAACTCCTCCTACATCTAATCCATCAGCAAGCCCTGTGTCTTCCTCCAATCTGTTTCCTGAATCCTTGCCCTTCTCCCCATCTGCAGTTTCTGTTATGTCCCACTTAGACGATTGCAGGAGCCTCTTAACTGGCTTCCAACTTCCACTTCTTGTCCCTCTTCAATCTTTTCTCCATACGGAAGCCCAAATTAACCTTTAATGACACAAGTCAGACTCTGTCATTTCCTTGCTTAATGCCACCAATGGCTTTCCACTCCATCTATGGCTTTCCACTGCATGCAGAATAAAATACAAAGGCCTACAGTGGTCCAGATGGCCCCACGTGTCTGCACTGGCTGCTGCCCACCTCGTCAGCTTCAGCTCCCCTCACTCTGTCCCAGCTTGCTATGCTCCAGCTCCTCTTGTCTTCCTAGTTCTTGTTTCTGCCTTGGGGCTTCTGCAATGGCCATTCCTTCCCCAGGAACAGTTTCCCCGGCATCTTAGGATGGCTAGCTTCTCAACCATCAGGGCTCAGTCAAATATCACCTTCTTAGAGATGCCTTTGAACATAGTTTGTCCCCACCAAATTATTCTGCTTGTCTCTTTCTCATCATATTTACTATGATCTAAATTTATTACACTTTTATACAAGTGTTAATTGCTTATCTTGCATCATTAGGATATCAGTTCCTACTGGGCCAAGCTAGTAGGTACTCAACAAATATTTAATGAATGAATGGCAGAAAGTGGAGAAGCAGCACAGGGGCACATACTCTAAAGCTGAGAAGAGGGCATGTGTCCAGGTGCTTCGGGTGTGCTTTGCAGATTCAGGGCTGAAGCCTGGTGTTTAGAAAATTCTTTTCATTCTTTCCAAGGTCTCATCTCCAAGCACGTGCGTGCCCTGCCTCAGGTGGCGTCCTGATGGGCTGAAGAGTAATGCTCGCACTACATGCCAATGAGAAACCACAGCCTGAGAGTGTTGGAGCCGTGGCTCGCAGACATTGGTGTTTATAAGAATCATCTGGGGAGCTTGTTACAAAGCACGTTCCTGGGTTACGGCCCTAGAGATTCTATCAACTCTACTGATGAAGTCCTGGAGCTAGACTGTGAGGCAACACAAGGACTGGGTGACCATTTTGTCCAGTTTTAGCCCTGAAGGCCTCAACTTCCAGAACATTCCTCAGTGCCTGGCAAACCAGGTTGGTTTGTTGCTCTAATGGAAGGTGTTCAGAGAGGCAAGGGGTAGCTGATGAAGTAGTGAAGAATGGTTTTTTGCAGGAGCTGAGGGGGTTTCTTATCCTAGGCATTGGGTTTTGGCTGCCTTCTTGGCCTTGCCTTTGAGCCAGTCTAGGTTTCTCAGGCTCTAAGCCCAGATAGAAGGGTAAGGAAACCATTGTTTCTTAGACACCTGCAATGAACTGTCTGCTGCTCTACATTTTTTATTACCTAATTTATTCCTCAGAAGTCTTTTTTGACTCCCATTTTAGAGACAAGCCACTGAGGCTGGATAATGGTTCTGTAATTGCCCAAGCTCAGACATCTGCAAAATGGAGGAGATGGGCGCAACAAAATCCACCTAACTCAGAAACCCGGCCCTTTCTACGTGTTTTGCTGAGGCGGGGGATGGGGGGCAGAGATGTGGCTGGGACCTTATCTTGACAGATGTCCCTCAGTCCAGGGGGATGGGGCTCTCTTGGGATCTAGGGAAGACCCCAGTGACTAGACAGTGAACTACCTTTTTTTTAAAAAAAGAATTAAACTATTTTATTTAACATGTCATAGATAGTCATAAAGCAAGTCCATGCATTTAGTTTTCTGATATCCTAATGTATTTCCACAAACCTTTTAAGTCTATAATTTTATATAGTTTTTCATCAAGGAGGCAAGATATATGTAATTTCTCTTTTTTTTTTTTTTAAAGATGGAGTCTCGATCTGTCACCCAGGCTGGAGTGCAGTGGCGCGATCTCGGCTCAGTGCAAGCTCTTCCTCCCAGGTTCAAACAATTCCCCTGCCTCAGCCTCTCGAGTAGCTGAGACTACATGCACATGCCACCACGCCTGGCTAAATTTTGTATTTTTAATAGACATGGGGTTTCACCATGTTGGTCAGGATGGTCTCGAACTCCTGACCTCGTGATCCACCCGCCTTGGCCTCACAAAGTGCTGGGATTACAGGCATGAGCCACCATGCCCGGCCTATAATTTCTTTCTATATGTAACTAATTAAAGGTTTTTAAGAGGGTTTAATCTCTAAATCAGTAACAATTTAGTCATAACACCATACAAACACATTTAAATATTCAGGAAAGAGATTTTTAAGATTATTGCTTAGTCTTATAAAATGGTGAATTTTAACCAAATTGATACCTCTGTATTCTTATTTATGTTTCCTATACTCTTACATCATACTGCTTGGCAAGTAATGTAAGTTTTGACATAATTTAAAAATTCAATTATTGTAAACAAATTCTAATTTGTTAAACAATTTATATATTCCCCTTTACTAACTACACTGCCTCAAAATTAATCCTCCTTAAAAAAGTAATCATCCCACATAGAAAAAACTGCAGAACTTCCTCTTTCTTAAATATTTTCAAATAATGTAAGAACACAAATCCATGAAAAAACTGATTAAAAATTGACATTTCATCTTCCTTTACTAATTATGGAATAATAGAAAGACGTAAAAATCATGTTCCTTAATATTTCTCTGCTTAACAGAGAAATATGAAGAAATACTGCAATTATGGTTGTGGGCTATTTTCTAGCTTCTTCAAGTACGGGACACAACTATGGTTCCTACCAGTAAGGAGAAATGAATAATCAATCGTACATAACACAAAAGAAAGATGAGAGGTTCAAAAAGATAAACTGACTTTGGCATTTTTAAGAACCTAATGTTAACCCTGAAATGCCAGATTGAGTAACACAACAACAAAACAAAAGATGACAGCAGCAAGCCACCACTTCACACAGTATTAAGATTTCTGAAATATGTAATAGCCTTCCTCCCATGTCCCGCCCAATCTGTTTTGTTGTCTTTTTGTTTTTGCTGCTTTTTGACTGCAGGCAGTTCAAGGCTTGCCCATTGCATAGGTTCAGCTTTTCTTATAGTGATCTCAATCTTTGTTGCAGTCATAGTTACATAAATTTGCTTTACATCAGTCACATCCTGTAATTTCACATTTTGATGAAATTCCTTCTCTCCTTCAAATCCAATGTGCACATTTAACAACGTGCTATGTACTTCTACTCGACTAAGTTCTGGAAGTGAATTTTTAGCATATACTGAAATGGTAACTTCACCTTCAGTCTGATGCCAGTCATGTCTACATGGAACAACATTTTCCCCAGCATCCATTTTAGCCCACATATGTTTCCCTGTTGTACAGCCCTTTTGGGCTAAGAATGTATTAAAATCAGAAGTTTTTCTTCTACAACAGCTCCAGTATTTCATCCCCTCGTGGAAAATAGGTACTCCAGAATGATACACACAGACTTCTTCTAGACTCTCTAGACCCCGATATGTCTTTGAACACCCTCCATTCTTACATGAAATCCCAATCTTAATTTCATCAGTCTTCTTTCTTTTCTTTCTTTCTTTCTTTTTTTTTTTTTGACGGAGTCTTACTCTGTCGCCAGGCTGGAGTGCAGTGGTGCAATCTTGGCTCACTGCAACCTCTGCCTCCCAGGTTCAAGCAATTCCCCTGCCTCAGCCTCCCGAGTAGCTGGGACTACAGGTGTGCACCACCATGCCTGGCAAATATTTTGTATTTTTAATAGAGACGGGGTTTCACCATGTTGGCCAGGAGATTCTGGATCTCCTGACCTCGTGATCTGCCCGCCTCTGCCTCCCAAAGAGCTGGGATTATGCTGGGATTACAGGCGTGAGCCACCGCACCCAGCCGCTTCGCCTTCTTCTTTCTTCCTTTTCAGACGGAGTCTGCTCTGTTGCCAGGCTGGAGTAGCAGTGGCACCCTCTCGGCTCACTGCAACCTCCGCCTCCTGGGTTCACGCCGTTCTCCTGCCTCAGCCTCTTGAGTAGCTGGGACTACAGGCGCCCGCCACCTCGCCCGGCTAATTTTTGTACTTTTAGTAGAGACAGGGTTTCACCATGTTGGCCAGAATGGTCTCGATTTCTTGACCTCGTGATCTGCCCTCCTCGGCCTCCCAAAGTGCTGGAATTACAGGTGTGAGCCACCGCGCCCAGCCTTTTCTTATCTTCTTCATTTCCTGATGACAGTTTAAGTTTATCAGGTGCTTGTTTTGGGGAGGCAGATATTTTTAATTCCAAATTTGTCATTGGTCCATCCGGGCTTGGCCTTTTTATTGCTTCTACTGGCTTCGGGGCTTGAATGATGTGTTCCTGAAATTTGGGTTTCAATTCAGGTAGTTCTTTCTTTTCAGTAGTCTTGACTTCAGGTTTGACTGGCTCAGGCGGCTTCTCACTATTATGTCTACGTTTTGCACAGCCTACAATGCTTAAGAAATCAGACAAATCAGTTGTTCTTCTCTTACATCAAGACCAACCCTTTAATGCATCGTGAAAGATTGGAACACCTGGGTGGCATGTGCAAGCGTCATCGGAATTGGTCCAGGATCGAAGCGCTGACCGCAGCCCCGGTTGTAGCACAGCAAGGCCATTTTCTTTTCCCACCGTCACAGGCAAGACCCAAACACCGAGAACGTCAAGGGGGTGCATTTACCACTCCCTTGTCGCTGGCACCGGCCTCAACAGTGAACTATTTATTGTAAGGATTTCTGTGGGCCCGCTCTGAGCCGCCGTTTCTGGCCGTGCAGACGGATTTCTACCACACGGTGGCGCTGCGGCTCTGCCATAGAAGTCTCACTTTGCTCCAGAGCCAGGCAGGGCCGGCCACAGGACCAGCCTCCGACGGCGATTTCATCCGCAGCCTGTGGGGCAACGTGGGGCCTATCTGTAGCTTTCAGCCTTTCCTGGACCCTACCAGGACAAGAAGAGAGGCGAGAGGTGCGAAGGAGGTCTGGAGAGGAGGAGGCTTGGGACAATGCAGAGTCCTGATAGTGAGGGTGACCGCTGACCGCTGTCAGGAGGGACATGGACCGCTGCCGAGGAATAATGGGATTTCCCACCGGCCCAGTCATCTCCTACGCCGGGAAAAGGGAAGAGCTGCTGCCCCATGGTCTGTGCGGGTGGGAGGGGTCTCGGGCAGAGAGGAGACACTTTTTCTGTCCTCCAGGCTGTTTCTGCCAAGTGAAGGCCTGGGCTGGAAGAGCCAGGAGCAAATGAGAGAGTTGGGTGCTGAGCACCCAGCGGGAGAGGATGCGTCCCGGTCATCACACACCTGCTGACCACACATCTCTGTGAGGTCCCCCCACATACTCCGCCTGCAGTTGCCATTTGGGAAAATGATTCTTGCCTCTTTCACCGTCTGTTTTGTAGATTACGACTCATTTACGGGCCTAGGCCAGGACTCGGCTCTTCCAGATCCTTATCGAAAAGCAACATCACACTTGTGCCCAGGGGTTCGAGACCAGCCTGGGCAACAGGACAAAAAATACAAAATCTGTGCGGAAGGTATGTGAACCCTTGGGAAACGGAGTCGCTGTACACGTGTATCAGGCCTTGAGCCAGCTGCAGAGTGGGCATTACTGCCTGGTGCCCTCCTCCCTCACTCTGCCTCCCTGGATGTTGGGGATGGCCCTGTAAACCTTGTTCATAGGGGTCCCTCGATTTCTGGGACACCTCATCTGAGCACTGAGGAGGGGACACAGCTGTTGGCTGGGAGGCAGGAGACTAAGGGTTGCCTTCAAGCCATCCCCACACATGTGAGCTCATCAGCATTCTGCCCTTTCGTGGGTGTCAGTTGTCTCGTCCATAAAATGGGATGATGTTCTTGTTCCAGCCAGCATACTGGATGACTAAATGAAGGAACAGGTGAGAAGCTGCATTGGAAAAAGAAACCATTCAGCTGCAAGACATCCTGGTGCAGTTCCTCCAGGCCTAATGGGGTTTGGTTGCCCACCTGGGCTGTGTCTCTTCGTGGTGCCAGCAGGTGGCAGCATTGCTTTTGCATGTGCCGGCTCCACCTCCGGCCTCTCCCAGACATGGAGCGTGTAGGGCAGGGGACCATTCTTCACCCAATTCAATTCAGGGGTCAGGAGAAGGAGGGATCTGAAATGCCCTGAATGGGGAGGGCCTGGAAAGAGAATGAAAACCTCATTCCTCCCCTCAAAAAAAAAAAAAAAAAAAAAAAAAAAAACACAGGTAAGCCAGGAGGGCAGGACCTGGTGCGTGAGCCCAAGAGGGCTAATGTGACCACTCAGGCTCAAGGGGGACCTTACCTCTCTCTGCCACAGCTGTGTTCCCCACCACCTGGAGGAGGGAACTGGGGATCCAGAAGGCTTGGGCCCTTGTCTTTGGTTGGAAAAGTCAGCCGGCATTGCAGTGGGGCAGCAGGAGCTCCTCTATTTTTGTGTGTGCAACAGGGTTGAAAACTTAATTCACTCTGTAATTTATTTGTGCAGAAAAAAGGTAATTTCCTTATTTATGAGTCTATAATGAATCTGGCTTTTCTTCCAACCGCTGCCTGATAAGTGAGAAAAGCAATGAAATTTTCAACTTGATTTAAACAACCTGGGGCCAGAGAGTTTAGCGGGTCTTGTTAAGTGATCTTATTAATTTCTCTTGGATAAAATGCTTAGTTCTCAGACTGCTTTCCCCAGCTTCTCCCAGTGTGGTGCTGTTGGGGTGTTGTAGACAGACAAGGGCAGCTTGTCTGGCATCTGGTAGGAGGCATGAGTTGGGATCCTGGGCTGTGGTGTCCTCTGGACCCAGCAAGGTCCCCTTCTGGGGACACTGATCATACTAGAAGCTGAGTTTATGAAACTCATGGTGCAGTCCCTCCTGATCTGACTAGAGCCCCTGTGGCGCCCCTGGCTGGCCCACCCTCCGGCACCTGGGCCCCTCCTCCTAGCTGTGCCACCGTGGCCCCGGCAGGGCTGCGGGCTCACAGGAATGGAAGTTGGCTTTGAAAGCTGACCTTCAGTGGTGCCTCTCCCTTACCGGGGAGCCCTGGTGCTGGAGGCAGAGGCCGGGTTAGTTTGCAGCTGCCTGGGATGCCACTTCTTCCCAGAGTTCCAATGTGAGTTAGGGACAAGGGCTTCTTTCTCTCGGGGAGGGGTGAGTGGGCCAGTGCTTGGCTCCGCTTGTTTGTTATCCTTCTAATCCCCTTCGTACCATCCCCTGGGCAGGAAGGAGGGGACCAACACTCTTCCACTTCTTGCTCAGTCATCCATTACATAAAACTCCAGGGCCACACCCAAGGAGAGCGATGAGAGAATCCAGGAAACATGCTCTCAAGAGAAGAGCCTGCTTTAGAAGACTTTTGATCTGCAGCATAATCCTATTTTGCATGTCAAATGCCAAACATCACCACATTTTTTCTTCTGTGCATTCTGTCTATATCAAACATTAATCCCGGTTTCTCTTTAAGCAGAGATGCATGCCTCAGGCCAATGAAGATGAAGGTCATGTACCCATCAAGGCAAAAGAGAAAAGCACTGCACTCCAGCCGGGCAACAGAATTATTATTATTTTTTAAGAGACAGGGTATCATTCTATTGCCCAGGCTGGAGTACAGGGGTGTGATCATAGCTCACTGTAACCTCGAATGCGTGGACTCAAGTGCTCCTCCTACCTCAGCCTCTGAGTTGCTGGGACTACAGGTGTGTGCCACCACACCTGGCTAACTTTTCTAATTTTTTTTTTTTTGAGGCGGAGTCTTGCTCTGTCACCCAGGCTGGAGTGCGGTGGCCGGATCTCGGCTCACCGCAGCTTCAAACCCTGGGGCTCAAGCCATCCTCCCACCTCAGCCTCTGAGTTGCTGGGACTACAGGTATGTGCCACCACACCTGGCTAACTTTTCTAATTTTAGTAGAGACGGGGTTTCACCGTGTTAGCCAGGATGGTCTCGATCTCCTAACCTCGTGATCCGCCCGTCTCGGCCTCCCAAAGTGCTGGGATTACAGGCTTGAGCCACCGTGCTCGGCCTAATTTTTTTTTAATAGATGGGGTCTTGCTGTGCTGCCCAGGCTGGTCTTGAACTCCTCAAGCAATCCCCTTGCCTCAGCTTCCCAAAGTGCCGGGATTACAGGTGTGAGTCATCTTGCCTGGCCCAAAATTTTTCAAATATCATCCTTTTAAGCTTCAAATGTTACCAACATTGGCTAATGCAACCAGAGGAGACATAACACATAAAACATGGGGGGTTCATCCACAAGGAGAACTCACTATCTTGCTGGTGTTAGGCTCTGTCCTTCCCAGAGAGGATACGCCATGAGTCAGAAGCAGATGCCACTCAACAAAAAAAAAAAAAAAAAAAGAGAGAAGAAAAAAAATAACACCTCTATGTAATGGCCTGGCCTAGTAGGAACCCCTGCAGAGCTCAAGGACTCTCAAAAGGAGGCTTTTAGCCCAGGGCCAAGGCAAGACCAATTCATAGGATGAAAGGAAGGCTGTCATTGGTGGGCTTTTGTCCAGGCTCCTCATTTGTTCTTTCCTACTGGAGGAAATGTAACATGGGCAATTCAAGCCAATAGGGAACCTGGGCAAGGGGCTGGTGGTGGGTTTCATTCACTGCTTTCCCTCACGTTACTCCCTCAGGAAGGGAGTCTTACTGGGCAGGGCTGAGGCAGATGACCAGACTTACAGGTACTCACTGGCACATGCATCTGGATATGGGGGTGGGGTGGGGTAAATAACCATACCTACCTCATACCATGTGGGGTAAATAACCATACCTACCTCATGTAGTTGTTGCAAGGATGAAATTACTTAATCATTTTTTTTGAGACGAAGTTAGGCTCTGTCACCCATGCTGGAGTGCAGTGGCACAATCTCAGCTCACTGCAACCTCCGTCTCCCTGGTTCAAGTAATTCTCCTGCCTCAGCTTCAGACTGCTTTCCCCAGCTTCTCCCAGTGTGGT